GTAGTAATTCCATATCCTCAGTCGTCGGATACGGGTAATTATTGTTGTTTGCTAGCCATGATTTTAGGATTCGCAATGACTTGGACGAGAAACGGGCCCCGACCTTGCTTGGCAGTGCCGACTCAGACGGTTGGGGGGCTTGGCCGGCGGTAATTTGGTCGTCGTGGAACAAATGACCTATGGGTTCGCCATCTCCCAAGGCTTCTGAGAACATGAACATGCCGGGTTCCTCAAAAGGTCCATCACCGCCGGTTTGCATGTTGTCGAAATCCATATTGGCTTCCTGGTTGAAGTTTCCAGCATCGAGGGCACCATAACCAAACGCATCGTCTTGACGGAATGACTCGAGATCAAGGTTGACACCAAAAAAGTCTGTGTGTTCTGCATGCTGACAGTCGGTATTATCCCTGCCATGGCTGTCACCGAAGGTTATATCATCAATATGGCCGTTGTTGGCAGAGTCGGACGTGATGAAATCGTGTCCGAACGCGGCGGTGAGGTCGTCAAAGCCAAGTGCTTGCGTTCCATTGGCTACCCCCGTACCCTTGTCCATCGTTGTGCGGGTTGTGTAAGTTGCAAGTGTCTGAGAGATGCATGCAGCCAGGTGAGACTACGGCTGTTAGTGCTCGACTAGCAACGACAGGATGAACGTTTCCCCGAATCGTTGCCGTGCTGCCGTGTTTAATCTTCTCAACAATGAGTCCTGGAAAACAACCCCCACTTCTCACCCGGTGTCCGACTCATACTACTGCGGGACATCATTAGACCGAACATATGTATGGTCACACGTCCCGATTTGAAAGATGGTCAGCAACAAACCCGCCAGAGAAATAAATAACCCCCTACTTGATGTTGAACTGATCTCACTGAGACCCGTCTCACCAGCAGATGACATGGGCTCTCGGAACCGGGTCTGGCAGAGCCGCAAGCCGGCGAGCCCCAAAGTCACCGATCTCGGCATCTGTCTCTCGGTAATCGAACGGGTCATGCTTCGGGTCCGGCCGATCTCGGAACACTGGCTGCACCGTGACCCATAGTTAGCCCCCTGCCGCGCCGGGTATGATTGCATGACCAACCCCCTTATTCGTACTTGTCCACGCCGAGTCTTCGGGAAGATGTCCGACCCGAGGAATTCAGTCGCGGCCTCCATGAAGCCCGCTTGTCATTCGCGGGGAACTCGCAGTCGATTTCTGTTTCGGGCAACTCGAATAGCCCTGGGGCATGGATACTGGTGTACTGCTCCTGGGGTTGATTCTCTGGGCCAGTCACCGACGTCGGATAAGCAATGTCAAGAAGATCGCTCTAGGTGTTCTTGACGGGGTAAGAAGTGGATGTGCCGCCGGTCAATGTGATGTCCTTGCCGAAAATCTGATCAACCTAACTGTGAAAAACTCGAGCGTCCCAATCGCTAGCGTGAGGGTGACCTGGCAGACATTCTTGATTCATCAAGCCTTTTGCCCTACCAACTCAGGCCTCCACTATGTCCCAGGAACAGGCCGAGAAGCCTGAACCCACCGGCGGGGACCGTACCGTTCCCCCAGACTTGGCATTGACGACATCCAACGCGGAGAAAAACATCAGCATCGTGCCGGCGGTCGATGAGGACGCGGGTCTAAGCCGTCACGACACCGATGCCATCTACAGCAGGTTCGCTCCAGCTCGGAAAAGACTCGTCACTGCCGTCGTGGCGTGCGGTGGCGTTGCCTCCACCATCTCGTCGTTGCTGCTTTTGGCCGCCATACCTGAGATCGCAGCAGACCTAAATACAACCGGAAGCATCATCAATGTCAGCAACGCCGTCTACGTCCTGTTCATGGGTATCAGCACGCTGTTTTGGGGTCCTATTAGTCAAGTGTTTGGCAGAAAATGGGTATTTCTTCCACGCTTCGCTCGCCCCGCATGATACTGGAGACTGCAATCTGACCAAACCTCGTCAGCCATGCATCATCTCAGCATCCACCTTCTTTGCCTTTTGTGTGGGGACTGCCCTGTCACCAAACCTTGCAGCGTTCTTCATATTTCGTCTGCTATCAGCTTTCAGCGGGACAGCTTACCTCGTCCTTGGCTCCAGTTGTATCAGTGATATATACAAGCCGACTGAACGAGGAACTGCCTTAGCATGGTTCCTTAACGGCACTCTGATTGGGCAGGCTTTCGGCCCTTTCATAGGCGGCGTCATCGTGACCTTTCGCAGCTGGCGAACACTGTTCTGGTTCACCGCCGCCCTCGGTGGCCTCACTGCGATTCTTGCGGTGTTGTTTCTACCAGAAACTAGCCATCGCAGACGAGCAGATGAGTTGACAGACCTTAGCGTCAGGGCCAAGGTTGCGCAGGTGTGGCAATGGGCTAATCCTTTCCGCGTACTTGCTCTCTTGCTCGTTCCGAAACTCTTAGTAGCGGTAAGACTCTCCCAACACGAATGCCAAGGTTCATATTTGAAGTTTAACTGTGTCAACCCAGGCAATCGCTACCGCCTCTTTAGTTTGGAACATGCAAGCCCTGCTCACTCCGATCCGATATGTCATCAATCCTAGGTTTGATCTTACATCACCCCTCCAATCAGGGTTCTTTTTCCTTGCCCCGGGATGTGGGTTTTTCTTTGGCACATATGCCGGCGGCCGGTGGGCAGACCACACTGTTAAACTTTGGATCAAGCGTCGGGGTAAACGCATACCTGAAGATCGACTCCGCAGCTCATTCGTGGCTATGGGAGCCGTGATCCCTGTCTGCATAATCATCTACGGCTGGGCTATCGAGAAGGAGAAGGGAGGTATCCCACTGCCCGTGATTTGTATGTTTGTCCAGGGATTCGCCCAGGTCATTGCCTTTCCTTGCTTGAACACCTATTGCCTGGATGTGATCAAAGGAAAGGGCGCAGAGGTGATAGGTGCGTGTTCGAATCCCCGCTAGGCTTACCATTCCAGCGACTGACATCGGCTCAACGCAGCCGGAAACTACTTCTTTCGGTATGCCATCGCAGCGATAGGTACTTCTGTGTGCTTGCCAGCCATAGAGAGTATTGGAGTCGGGTGGTTCAGCACGCTCACCGCTCTTTTTGTCTTCTTCTCCACCGCTGCAGTCTATGTTGTGGTCGCAATCGCGACAAGAGAAGACGGCAAAGCGCAAAGCGAAGAAGCGTAGAGGGGCGCCGGGCCACGTAGAAGACAATATACCTAGCTGGTCGGTTCATCCTGAATTATTCCACGTGAAAACGTTGTTTTCGCACGAAATTGATCCGACAAGGCCTTTACCATCGAACATCCGTGCCGAGCTCCCGTAATTACGTCTTCCATTCTTTTCGGAAAAGCCTACCGGCCGGTGTCTCCCTGAGAGGATGTCTGGCGAGGTTTGACTTCCCGAATCGGTTGGTCTAGCAAGTTCGTGTGCATGCGAGCCAGTCATATCGTCAAGCTCTATTTCTCGAATACCGAGAAAGTTGTCTCATCACAGCAGCAAAAGACTCTAAGGAACATGATGATGCTTCCAGGCTGGATTTCTCTTGGGGCAAGTGATGGTCTGCACAGACAGCAGGGCGAATTGGGACCGTTCAGAGTTCCGGCTGCGCCAAGCCAAACAAACAAAAGACTGTTTCAATGACTCGGTTTCACAAACCTTATTATAGCCCCTGATTCCGAAACCTATGAAAGCCACTGCTACTCAGTCATTCATCTCGTAGTGCGGGGTCCTGTTCTTAACTCTACCACTCGACGAGGTGATGCGTCGGCGAAGATCGCGTGTAGGATGAACTGGAGACGACAGCGCCAAAACGACTGACGACCGCGAACAAAGCAGCCGGCCTCTCTGGCCACCTTGCTTCCAGCAATGGCGCAGGTCCAGGGGGCAATAGGCAATAACTTAACCGAGGCAGAGAAGATTGCTATTACAAGCTTGGCCACAGCCGGCATGTACAACGTCCTCGAGATCTACGTCCTCATCTTCACGACATTCCGATACCGATCGGGTCGATACTTCTGGAGTATGCTAGTAGCCAACACTGGCATTCTATTCCACGCTTGCGGCAGTTTAGGTCGGTTTTTGCAGCCGACGAAGACACCCATACCAGGAGCATTTGCCCACGTGGGCTGGTATTGCATGGTAACGGGTCAGTCTGTTGTACTATGGTCACGGCTGCACCTCGTCGTCTATAATCGCACCACCATTCGACTCGTTCTAGCCATGATCATGGGCTCCGTCTTGTTCGTCCATATTCCGCAGACAGCTCTCTTCGCCAAGGTGTGGACTACCAACGACCCGGTATGGACTGAACGATTCAAGGTAATCGAAAAGATTTCCCTGATGGTGTTCACCCTACAGGAAACCACCATAACCGGCATCTTTGTCAGGGCGGGATTCAAAAACCTCAAGGGCCTCTTCGAATTCAAAGCGAGAGAAGCACGAATGCTAATGAGCTCCCTCGTCGCCATGTTCGCGCTCGTTTTTGTCCTCGACGTCGGTCTCGTCGTGCTGGAATACATGGGTCTTTTTGTATTCCAGACTTCGAGCAAACCCATCGTATATAGCATCAAGCTGAAAGTGGAGTTTGCAGTCCTACAAAAGCTTTTGGCGTTCACGAAAATGAAGTCTTGCGACTGTCACAATCTGGAGGAAATCACCGGACCTACAGTCAAAACGACTGCAAACGACACCACGCAGGCAGACACGATACCATGAGTCGGAGGAGGGCGTTACTTGAAGCTTGTAATTTCGCACATAAATATAATAAAATTTCATGACGAAAAGATTCTACTTGGAGTCTAGTTATGTAACTTCAAGACGATGGTGATGGAACACTCATAGCTGCACGGCCTTGAAGTACTGCAGTGCATAAGTCAATTTGGATGACCACCATTGCGTCGATCCAACAAGTAAGAAACGTGTGATTGCCTAAAATACCTTTGAACCGTCTGTTCTATCATCAAGATTATGTGAAACCTATAAAGTTGAACTTGCCATGGCCACACAACCCGTTGGATTACACACGTGGTTTGGCCAAGTCAGCCGTGAAGTCTGTGATCCATTTCCGCAACTGATAACACTCTCCAGCTCTAGTCTTGCAAAGAAGGGTATCAGTTGAACTTTGTATGGTTTTGTGGGGCACGAACAACAAGAAACTCGATAGAAAGTAGAGATATCCGTAATTGAGGCTCAATCAACCATAACCGTTATCTAGCGTTATGATCTATGACCCCGCTACATATAAACGTGTCTCTCTGACCCTCTCCATCAAAGCTCATACCTAAGTTCCTTGTTCTCGAGATCGGCGAGATCCCAGAACTCATGGTTTTCTTCCACCTTGTATGCATTCCCCGGCGCAGCCCTTTCCGCATCACGCTTTTTGTTTTTCTATGATCCAGTACCCATCGAATCACAAACAAGTCCATCGTGACCAAACAGTAGATGATACAGATTGAGATCTTCGCGGGCAGATACCTTGGCGCATCACGGGCTTGGAAAGTCTGGGGCGAGATGATGTGACCAACCGTGTATGCGATTGTACCAATGCATGCAACGGTAACCTTCTTGGTAGAACCGGCTACGTTCGAGCTCTGGAGGCCTAAGATCGTCGTCCATCCGATCGGGATACCTCCCGAAGTGTAATATCCGATGAGGGCGGGCACCTTTGAAGTATTAGTCGCCATCAGAATGGCGCCAATGATGGCAGGAATGTGACCGGCAATGCACCAGTAAAGCCGCTGCCGTGTCTTCATTGCCAACCACGTCAGACTGATCAGTGCAACAATCTCATAGGCTCCGAGTGGGATCACGAGGAGCAACGATTCCTCGCCCGTGTAGCCCATGCCTTCCACAAGGATATTGCCGAAGCTAGTCGCGATGGAGTTGGGGATGTTGGCTGCGAACATCCAGAAGGCGTAAAGCCAGGTCATCGTGTCGAGAAGAGCCTCCTTGACGTGCTTCCACTTGAACTGCTGCGAGCCAATGCCTTGCTCGTTATCACGCATGCGCTCGAGATGGGCTGCCTTTTCTTGCTGGGAAAGGAACTTTGCGGAAGCTGGCGAGTCTGGCATGATGAACCAAAAGGCAACTCCGACGGCAGCTGTCAGTAGGCCGAGGAACAGGGAGATAATCTGCCACCCACGGAGAGCGGCGTCGGGGTCCTTTCCGACATGGACTGCAACACCGTATGCGAAAAAGCCCCCAAACATCTGAGCTGCACCACACACCGAAAACCAAACGCCGACGCGGAAAGTCTGCTCTTGTTTGGTGTACCACTGCGAAGTGAAGAGAACCCAGGCCGGAACAACAGCAGCTTCGAGGACGCCGAGGAGAACCCGGCAGACCAGAAGACTAGCATAGTTCTTGCAAGCCGCAAGACAAGCCAGGACGAGGCCCCACAGAGTAACGTTTATAGAGGTGTATTTTGCCAGAGGGAACATCTGAATGAGCCGGATGCTGGGAAACTCGAACGCGAGCTGGCCAAAGAAGAAGATGGACGCAACCCAGTTGAACTGGTTGCCGTGGAGGCCGGTGGATTGCTGGATGCCAGTCACGCTGGCGTAGGAAATGGATGTCTTGTCAATATACTGCAGGAAGTACACGATGTAGATCAGAGGCATGATGTGGGTGTCGATACGGCGCTTCAGCCTTTGGTTCAGCTCCGGATCGGCTGTCTGGCTCAGACGTCCAGTCTCGTTGAGTAGGTCCAGAGCAGCGTCGACGCCGGTCTTTGGTTGTTGTGGCTTTGCAGCATCAGCTGGCGGTTCTACCTCCGCTGGAGATACAGCAGATGTGGTTGAAGTGGATAGCTTGTCCGGGCTGGAAACGGCCTCGGTCGGATGCAACTCCGTCGGCTTTGTGTTGTCGATATCAGCCATGATGCTAGTCGAGACGTGGGATTCTCAAATCGTCTTGTCAAAGGTGATACTGGGCGGTTTCATAAAAGCATCAATGAGCACGGAAAGTCGGCGAAGCTTTGGATGCGGACGAAAGAAGTGAAGGGTAGGGACTTCATTCGTATCAATCTCATCAACGGCACCATGGGTCCCTCGTTCTAGCACATCATCAGCAGTTCTTCCGAGCCCCTGGTTGGACAATTCCTTACGCAAGGCGCAATTCCTAAGAGTTTTGATTGACTAAACCCACGCGATACAGATAAGAGAAGACACCTCCACTCGCGGCTGACGTACCAGGGGAGGGATTTGACGATTCTCGTTTTTTTGCTGAGCACGTCATCGTCTCGTCGATGGTGCGACTCTTTCGAAATTGCCTCTTTCAGCCGCTTGGCCCCAAATTCTCGGCTTGCTGCCCGGGTGGGAGTGCCAGGTCGTCGCTACGTGGGATCAAGTCGTGGAATAGGATAACAATCCTTGGCCGTTGATAACCAGACCAAGTCGTCGGGGAAAGTGATTGAGTGTTAGTGATCCTCGGCCATATAGCCAAGGCTCTGACAGTATCTATCTCGACTGATGGCTGTCAGGTCCAGTGGAAGAATCAAGTATATGTCTATTTCATTTGCGGCAAGGTTGCAATAAGCGTGCGTAAACACCATGCTAGCTCAAAAGAGTATCATAGGGTCATCCCTGGCGGGCCACAGATTCTAACGCAAAACGAAACACCGGCTGGCGCAAAGAAGAGCCAGTTCAACTTTTCCATTGAGACAACACTAGGAGAAGAACGGGAATACCAGCCTCTATAAGCTTTACTTGTTTACTTAATACGCTCAATGGGCCATCTCATGGGGAATAATACGATTGAGGCTGGTATAGACCGCTCGGTACTAAGGGAAGCCATTTTTTGGGAAGGGCTTAGCCATGAGATTGATAGTTGTAGATCTTGCCTCATCGTTCTGTTACTTCTGAGTCAACGATGGTGTTACCGCTGCACCTGAGACTGAGATACGAAGACATTAACCCGACATCAGTCAAGATGCGTACCGAATCACTCCGAACTCCTGGAACTATAATTTCAGGGTGGTAGACTGTACCGCTGGCCTCTGTGTACTGTGGTCGATAGATGGCCCTTTGGTATAAAATATTGAAGATTTGTCAGCATTAGGAGCATCAGCAAGGACAGACGCTCGAGCATAGTCAGACTGGTTAATGTGAGAGGAGAGTAGGAACGAGCCTGTAGGCATTGATGACCAGGACATGCATACGCTTAGTTGCCCTTCTGATTATTCCTGATTTGCGCACTCCGTCAATAACGCCATTCTTTGCTCTACCTACACAGCTCCGGTGAAAGCGGTCTCCGACTCTACTAAAACATAATACCGCTGGGTGAGTTGCTCCTATACTCGTCTACGGTACATTTCACCCTTGAAGCAGCATGGCATAATGGCCCTCAAGAGAGATTTTGAGGTTAGTAGCATCTAATCATAAGCCTTCAGGGATCTCGTCGGATTACACGCGCTTACAGAGTGCGTAGCCACACTCATCGACCGACCTCCAGATCGACAAGGTGAACTATGGATTTTACCATTAGCCTGACTTATCTTCACCTGTTATTTGCTGCTTCTGTTTCTCTATGCTGTTATAACGAGTTGCCTCACCGCTTCCGTTAGGCCGTGCAATGCACCTGCCCGCCATCAAGTTCTCTCAGCTTCTCAGTTTATGAGCAATTGCCAGAAGAGTTGTGTCCTATCTAATGCTAGATAATATAGGTTCTGCCGAGAGGCGTGCAGACATAACGTGTGTTATTACTAAACCCCGCTTTTGCTCTTTACCTGAACAGTGCACAATTGCATAACAGTATGAATAGAAGATCGCAATTACTAACATCATGCAGTGACTCGTAACACAAGAATTGACCGAGGTTGGCTACAAGGGCCGGGATACCATGCTATGTTACAGAGAAACAGGACATGGAGGCATCCTCTCATGGTAATCACAATTCCCGTTTGACAAACCTCGCTTCTCTTGATCCTCATCTGGCAACTGTTACCACGGAACATCAATTGTACCCAGACGCATGTCAGGGAGCAGTCTTTCCAAACAATGAGGAGGCACGGTTTTCGTCTCGAGTCGGGTTCCGACACTTGCGTTCTCTTGGTGTCGGCCCGCAAGGGGTTACGGTCCGATGTCGGGAAAGTTTCACTGTCAATACGCTTTTCGGTCCGTGTCAGATCGCCCAAACAATCAGAAAATCTGTAGTTAGAGGTTGCACCTCCTCGAGAAGGTTAATTAGACGCACGCAACTGAGTCCTGCCTCTGCAGTAACTTGGCTCCTACCCTTGTGACTTTGTGTACATACGGGCGAGGGGAGAGTGTAACAACAAAACGAAAGCAAGTTTAACCTTGAATCAGACGTTCCTCACGTCCGTCCTCAAGCTCTGCGAGAGAAGTCGGGGCGATATTCCGGTTAAGGACGGATTGCACATTCACCCAATTTATCTCTCCTCCCTATCAAGGAGAACCTTGAAACCCGGTCATCTTCGACGCACGCCTACCGCAGTAAGTCGTCATACCTTGGCAAAGAGCTCAACAAAAGGTGCGCAACGTCCTAAGGGATGCATGCTCGTTGAACCTTGGGCAAAGGAGGGGCTATGGCAGGGCACCCAATCAGCTTAGGACAGGTGGTTCACTCAACCGGTACGAAGCTACGAGGGGGTGCTATCGAGGCGACCATGGGTCAAGCAACTCGACATGATTTTCATCTCAAGCTCTTCGTCTCTGAACCTTGTCGATTGGTTTTACTCATGCATTTATCACTATGAGGCCGACATCCATGGGCGTTTCTTGCCTTTGTGGCAGCATCGCCCAGCGAGTCAGTCCGCGTCGCACCGACTCAAAAGTCACCGAGATATCCATTAGTCACAGCGACACTGACAGACACGCTACCGGTATCCTGTGCGCATCGTATTACCCGATTGAGGAGCCTGGCCTCTACGGAAATACTTCAGAACATATCGGCGCCGATGGGTACGTGAGATTCTTCTGTCGCAAGTGCGGCTGTCACATTTTCCGACGCAAGGCGGTGGGAGACCGGGCGGTGGGAGACCAGGCGGAGTGGGAGGCAGCGACTGGAGCCTTGATCGATAGCACCGGCGACAACGCCGAGCATATCGGTGACGCGCGCTTCACGGTGCACACATCAGTTTCCGATACCAAAGACGGCGGCATCTCCGTATGGCTACCTCAAATAGACAGCCACGCGCTAGACGCGAACCGGAATCCGAACTTCTCCGTGGAGTCGCAGGCGAGCTCGTCCCTGCTGCCGTTATCTCGGCTTGTTCCAGCGGACTCGCTGCCGGCATCGTGTGTCTGTGGAGCCGTGAGCTTCCACATTACCCGGCCTGACGAGCGAAGCTACCTCCCGCATTCCGGCTTCTCCGACTTGCTCTACCCGGCCTGCAAGCATTCCGAGCACATCGTGAAGAATCCGGACAACGTGAAATGGTGGATCCGAGCCGACGGAACCAAATATCTCGCCGGGACCTGCGCCTGCCGCCCATGCCGCCTTGCCTCGGGGTTCGAGATCCAGACCTGGGCGTTTGTCCCCCGCGAGAACATCTTCCTCCACACGCCGGGCCCCGGTGAGCGACGCGCTGTGGTCCCGCTCGACTTCGCGGCGCTACCTCCGGGCGTGCTGCGGACCTACGAGTCGTCTCCGGGGGTGCTGCGCGAGTTCTGCGGGGGCTGCGGGGCCACGGTCTTCTGGCACGACATCTGGCGGCCGGATGTCATCGATGTCAGCGTTGGCCTGCTGCGCGCCCCGGAGGGTGCCAGGGCCGACACGTGGCTCGACTGGTGTATGGATCGCTGCAGTTTCGAGGAAGAGGCGGGCAGGGGCCGGACAGGAGAACCCGCGCGCTGGGCGAGGAGATTAATCGACGGTCTGGAACGAGGCTTGCGCTCACAGGCACAGTCAAGTTGATACAACCCCGCTTGTCGCGGATTCCCATGGCCTCTTGTATTAGAAACGCGGTGTCATCACGATCAATGCCCGTATATACCTTCATATAAACGCTGTACCAGTCGCTAAACATGGGCTATAATATCTTGGCAAAGGTAAATGCGCACATGGGCCAGAGGAATTCTGGGCTGATCTGCAAATCTCCATCTACCCTTGGCCTTGTATCCCTAAGGATGGGTCCGCGAAGCCCGTGTCACCCCCCTATGCTTGCGCGTTTCGCAATAATGGAGTTGCCATGTAATTGGGACGGAACAAGGGCGTCGTCCTAGAATAGCCCAAAACTCGGGAAAGGCCTTGTCGGGGCATTATTCAAGATAGAATATCGGCTTGCTTGGCAGAAGTAAGGTTTGAATAGTGATTTGTATGTAGTCAAGCGAGCTCGACTAGGCGGTCCTCCACGGGAGGAACACGGAAAATTGCCCCAGCCTCTCAGCTAAACGCCTCGAAGGAGTCGGTGATCGTCTAAGTTTAAGACATTCTCTGTCGAGTCAGCCACGCTGCGCTACAAGGCCGGTGCATCCCCAACAGCTGTTCCGAACGTCCGCGGGGACAGCCCGGGCGTATTCCGACCATCAGTAATCCTTCCACTGCTCCCGCCTCTCGCCGTGTGCCTCGAGCATGGGCTGCGCTCACCGGTATCCCGCCACACGGGTCATCTTCCGGTTTCGCGAAATGAGCTAGTTGAGGAGTGAACATATCGCACCACTTGTTGCCTCCAAACTGTTGCTGTAGACTAATGTAAGATCGTGTAACCGTGAACGAAGATAGCATTGAAACGGTGCCATGTGAGCCCTATCGATCGGCAGCCGAAAATAGATGAAAGCATCACACGCTTATGCAGTGTGAAGGACTCGGCTCTTATGTGCTTGCCATACACTGTTCAGCCAAGACATCCGATTCTTGCAGGGTGGCGTGAGGAGCGTAGGAATGATACCGGAAATATCACAGGCCCTAGACAAAAGCAACCGTTTAAACCGGCGATGCAGGAACCTTTCTCTTGGACGCCCGAAAGCACAGCCTATTGGAGGTGACTGGTCAACAGCCTGCCTGTCTGTTTCCTTTTATTTAATTTTTTCATTTTTTATTTTTTTCGTTTCTCGCTCCTTTTTCTTTTTCACAAATGGCGGATCGGTGGCTGACGGCTCCTTCGGATGATGCCGCGGCAGTAGGTGAGAGATTGCAGCTGACGAACGACGCGCAACGCGTATTTTGTATTACACAGAACCTGCCCCTAAGCTTACTTGCAGGATCAACATTGGCAAGACTAGGGCTTTGCGCTGTACGTTGGCAAGGGCGGTACCGGGTCAGTATGTGAATAGTCTCTCTAGATCGCACATCATCTTGTGTAGGCAGTCTGGAGTGCAATGGGCGACATCGTCAGTGGCAAGTATAGCTGCCATGTGCCTGGAGAGGAAACCCATTCGTCTTTAGCCAAGAAATGGGGGGGCTAGTGCAAAATGGTTCATGTAATCGATGGGACGAGACCTGCCAAGTAACAAAGCTCAAAAACGCAAGCAGCGACTTTGAAAAGGTTTGTCTTGCCGCCGGTCCTCACATTCGCGAATGAGCCGGAAAGGGTAAGTAACCGGGTGGTAAAAATCATGATCGGCAAGGTTGACCATGCGGTCGACGGCGGGTATATCTTCAAGTTGACTATATTGGTTTAGGCTTCTTCGTATGTGCCCAGCTCCAGCTGCCTCCATGTCATTAACACAAACTCTAAGTCGTCTTCTTCCCAACCCTGTATGCATCGGACCAAATGCAGCGGCGAGCCCGTTGCAATATATCGAGGGGTCCGCATGTCGCGGTGTACGCTTGCCGGACAAAATGGCGCAGGGCTTCCTTTCCGCATGCTAAAGATCCAGATGTCGGCTTGTTCTGTCAGTAAATGGACAATCGACCGAGATCATTGTGTCCTTCGAGGTTACAGTGCAGGGATGGATGAGCGAATCCCAAGTCTGTGCAGGTGATGAGCTTATTGGCGCCAAATACCATGTCATCTGTGCCATGGTCTTTCTGCTCCCACCCAAGGGGGTGTGGAGGGCACTCCCTCCCACTGTAGGCATGTGTGTGTGTGTGTGTGTGTGTGTGACAGGGGGTGGCCACCGTCCGTATGCCCAAGGTGGTTGGTTCACTTTACTGCCATGTGGAAACATATCCTGGGGCGGTCCCCCCGGCCAGACGCAGCCGGGGGTTGCGGGATATGTACGTCGGCCGACGACTCCAAGTTTTCTCAGCTTCCTTTTCAGGGTAGTCGAGTGGTGGACGTGGTGGAGGCTGGCCCGGGGACTGATGAGTATCTTGTACCAAGGTGATTGTGCCTGCAGCGTGCATGTTGATCTGGCTACCCGCCCGAACGCGTGTGCGTGGTGGCGTAGGATGTGTGAAAACGATGTGTGGACGTTTGTTTGTTTGTTTCACACACTATCTGCACCGGCATCTGAGTCTCTATCTGAGTCTGTGTAAGTGAGCATGCGTGTATCTGTACCGCCCGGACGGTGTGCCAGTCATGGCCTTTCAAGACCGCCACGGAAGGCCGGTGGCGAAGCGGTCCGGCTCTCCCCCGCCTCTGCCACGAAACTCCCAAAGTGTTGTTTCTTTACGCAGAGAGAGAATAGGGCGGAGTCAATGCACAAGTGACGAAAGATTTGTAAGAGTCAACTAAATAAAAATCAGATAAACAACCCTCACATCGTCCCATGTCGTGACTCGTCCGCAACTCAGAACCGGGAACCGACCCCGCCGCCTGGCGGTGACAGACGCTTTCTTCTCCGCCACCCCGCGGTCATCCATCCAGCCAGCCTTGGGTTGTATTTATACTTCACCGGTACGTGGATATCCGCCATCGTACGGTTACTATGGTGTTTGTAGTCTAGTTGAACAGCTGACGGTGCATCAATTCCCCCGTTGCGCTCGGCTAGGCCCGCAGGGCTCCCCGCGACGCGGTGTTCATAGTGGCTCCGCCCCGGACTGCTTGAAAATCGGCATTGGCGAACTGGCTGCAAGCGATGGATACCTTACTCTCCCCGCAGCTTGGTCTGACTCGCGGGCTTCGCGGATCCCAACAACTGCTACTAAGTCCCCGGATTTTCCAGCTTATACACACACACACACACCGAGGGTTTGAACGTTAACGTAGTAAATGAATGAACCCGGATAACTGCAAAAGGTTGCTTTCCTTCAGATCTTAGAGAGCAGATACCTCAATGGAGTTGCTTAACCTTAGGTATATCTCTAGATTGACGCTATCAGGATGTGAAACTACTTACGCTGACACCATATTTAGTAGGGACAGAGTGTGTCTGTTCATACTATGTGCGTGTACCTAGGGCTTGTGGTAAGCTAACATCGAGAACACAGAGTATACTGCCATGGCCACGTCTAAGCCTGGATGACGGGTCCGACGCTAGCACATCCCAGCCTCTCAACCCATGTCATCCCCATAGGAGTAACCGTAGGTTTCACAGATATGGCCGTCACTTTTCACCGTCAAAGGGTGAAAAGCGGGCCATAAAGCGGGCCAAGCCGTATGCCCACGCTCATCTCAATCAAAAGAAATTTGGTGTCAAGCAACTCTGGGTTGCAACGTCGCTTAGGCTTGGGCCGAGAGAGTTGCCGCGATACCGAAGTCGCAGCCGTTGTAGGAAGCTTATTACCCTGGCCGTCATCAGGGAGGGTGATCTTGGGGGGCCTGTCTTGTCCGCAGTAGGAAATACATGGCGCCTCATACAATGTACTATGCATGTGCCAGGATGGCATCTGCAGCCTTGGTAATAATTCACTGTTACTAATCGTGGGACCAAAGGAAGAAAAGAGTTCCCACGTGAGTTGTCAAGAGCAGTCTCTCCATGAGTTGATCTCGACAACGCTTTTCATACATAATGTGCGTTGGTTCGTCCCGTTTTCCATCTTCTTTGGTCCGCACTCTCCAGGAACAACTCATGCTCGCCCCCTGAGCATCCCTGGTTGCACTGTCACTTCCTCTTCCACGAGTCCATCTTTCTCCGGTTCCCCTCCTCCTCCTGCTGGCCTCATCATGCACGCCAAACTGTCAAACTGCCTCTTGGCGGCCTCTGCTATCCTGCCCACCGTCTCTGCCCAGGGTTGTCCTTTTGCCAAACGAGACGGCTCAGTGAGCAGCGAGCTTCCCAAGAGGGACACCGCCGCGACCTTTGGTCGATGTCCCACCATCAGCAACGAGGCTGGCGGCGGCACCCGCAGCCGCGACTGGTGGCCCTGCCAGCTTAAACTCGACGTCCTCCGTCAATTCCAGCCCTCAACCAACCCGTATGGAGGCGACTTCGACTATGTCAAGGCCTTCAGCTCCCTCGACTGTGAGTCCTGACCGGCGGGTGGATGGCACTCGTTATCAACTACAGCGGCATCACTAACACGAGCCAGACGATGCCCTCAAGGCGGATTTGCGTGCTCTCCTCACCGAATCTCAGGATTGGTGGCCCGCCGACTTTGGCCACTATGGAGGCCTGTTCATCCGCCTTTCCTGGCATAGTGCCGGCACTTACCGCGCCATTGACGGCCGCGGTGGCGGTGGCATGGTGAGCCGCTTTTTGTTCTTCTTCCCACCTCACCCTCCTTTCTTGTTTTGTCGTCTAGCCTCTTCTGTCCGGCCCCGGCTATCCCCGGTAGCCCCCCCCCCCCCCCCCCCCGTTGGTTCTTCCTTGCTCGCTCGCACCATCTCTCGGCGCATTTCTTTTCCCTCACAACAGAGGTACGCGAGGGACTTTGGCCCTCCATCAGTCGTCTCATTCGTCTCACAAGCGAAGATCATATGAGGAGCGGGGTTTACCGGAGGTTTTCTGGCCTATCCCGTGTTTGTGCCAAGGGGTGCAGACGCATTTCTTTTCTCCACACTTGGCCGCCCATCGAATTATGGGCAGGTGTCTTCACCTTATCACTTTGCAGCATTACTTCAATCCTTTTGAGGGCTGGCGTTTACTAATATTGCTATATTGCAGGGTCAACAACGGTTCGCTCCACTCAACAGCTGGCCGGACAATCAGAACCTTGACAAGGCTCGTCGCCTCCTCTGTACGCTAGCCCCTACCCCTCCCTCCATCCATCAAGGACTCCGTGTCAACTGCCTCATCCGTTCGCTCGCCACACATCCATCCCACCAGTGGCTAGATAATGGCGACAGTCCAAGATGCTAAGGGATGCCTTGTGGTGGGAGAGGGAGTAAGAAAAAGACCTGCAGTGTGCTGACCCATGCAATTCCGTAGGGCCAATCAAGCAGAAGTATGGCAACAAGATCTCGTGGGCGGACCTAATGCTCCTGGCTGGTAACACTGCCCTCGAGGATATGGGCTTCAAGACTCTTGGCTTCGCCGCAGGCCGCCCCGACACGTGGCAGGCCGACGAGTCCATCTACTGGGGCGGCGAGACGACATTCGTGCCCA